TTTATCAAAATGCTTTGCAATCATGGGTTAGCTTCATATGCAAAAAAGGAATCAGAAATGTGTAAATGTTTTCTCCTGTATCCTCTCTTTTATCTGTTTACTGCTCTATCCCTCAATACAAAATTTTAATGTTATCACAATGGTTATACTTTTCATTTTTCCCTTATTATCTCTTGATATACAGCCAGCAAGTCTGTCTGTTTGTCTTTCAGCTCAATCACTTCTCATCTACACTGCAATCAAGTCTGCTTTTTGTTATTTTTAAAGACATCTTCCAATTGCTTAATATTTTTCTCACTTCCAAAAGACACCTATTGCTATTCCTCAGTGACTTCAGATTTCTGTGTCACACTTTCTGTTTAATAATAAATTTTTTCTTTTTTTTTTTTCTTACAATAAAGTTCACCCTGTACAAGGTCTGGGTGCCACTCGAGGTAGAAAGTTACATTAAGCAACACTTTATGCAGATAAGAGGGGAAGATAACAATTAATCCTAGCAAGATTGTAGTGATGGGGAAAATATCCTCTTGGGAGTGAGTTCCATAGAGCAGTAGTTCACAGGAAGAAGCTGCTCGAGTAGAACTTACTTGTCACCAGTGGAATACGGAGAGAATGTGGGTGGTTTGCTATGATTTGAGAGGCATGGCAAGTCCTAGCTGTGATGGTTAGAACCTGTGGAACTAATGAATGTTTGTCCAAGCACTTTCCATGGGAATAGTGATAAAACAGTGAGGGGCATACCATATCCTGCCTGTGAGCGAGAGAAAGATTAGGCCATGGGAAATAGATGCTACTGGAATTATAATAACAATGTCTGATGCTCCTGAGCTTCTCTTACCATAGACCGGTATCTTCTCATTTGCTCCCTTATCCTTTCTAATCTTCTTTTCTTGTGCATGTTTTTATTGAAATGTTATACAAATATGGATTAGTTTTATATGTGTAAAAGGAATAAATAATGTATATGTTTACTGCATCATCTCGTTTATCTTTATTTCTATTTCCCTCATATCGTTTACTGTCTGTTTCTTCCATAGATTAATGAGTTCAGTAAATGTTGCCATTAAAAGCAATTAAAAATTAAGGTGGATGTTAAATTTAATTTATGACATTTAACAATGATTCAGCTCATAAAAATATGATTCTGATGACATTAATATTCTTTTATGTGCTGTGTTATTTCCAGATGTGAAAGATAATGGTCCTTCACAACATCCTATCCTTTTAGCTCTTACTACTTGTTCCATTACTATTCTTCCCAGTCTTTGTTCTCCCATTCATTTGCACATTCTCTTCAGGTAGGTTATTAGGTTAATATTCTTTATAGCGGAGTCTCTTCGATGGACTCAGTTACTATGAATGAGGGAAAGTTCAATTGTGCTTGCTCTGTTTTGCTATCAAGATGTATTTATTTGGTAGGTTTGTTTTGAACCATAATTTTACTTTCCTTTACCATTCTTGCTTCCCACCAACCTTGAGCCCAATTTATTGGGAAGTGCAAGCAGGGAAAACCCATCAACCCTGGCGTAACAGGATAGAAGAATGGTATACTGATATTTAAGTGGACACAGGCACATATGCCTCCTACTTTCTGCTGACCAAGTTCAGAGGTACTTCAAGCAAAGCATGGCCATGTTGTGCCTCTTATCTCCTCAAACACACTGAACCTTAGCAACCACATTCTAACACGCATGAGGTGTATGCTTCTATGTTATGGTTCTCCTTTTAACTTCAGTTTTAAGTTTGCACTCATATATTTATGTAAACTTGTGGATATATATGTACCCATGAATAGAGGTTGTTAAATTTTGTTGTGACCAGTTGATTGATCAGATCAGGCCTCTCTAACCACCTGTCTAGCTCAAGTAGCAGCCAAAGTGGAGTGTTGTAGTATGCATTATCTCGCAGGGTAATGGACTACTCAGCCACCAGGATTCTGTCCTCAGGCATTATAGCTCGTCACCCATGGCCAACATGTGGCCCTTTTGAAGGGATCTTACCCAACTTTATGGGGATGCAGTCAGCATATTCTTAACCTCGGCCAACAGGGCATTCAAAACAATAGAAAAGATTGATGAAGACTACAGAATATCAAGGAACACATATTAACAAAATTAAATAATGATTTATTTGTATTCATCAAATATATGTTTGTATATTTCAGATTTAATTATAAATATAGATTTTTGGTGTTCTTTCCTTAATAAAAACTAGCACCACCTAAAAAAGGTATTATCAATATTTTTTCAAAATGATAAAGAAGCTGAAACTCACATAATGTAGTGTTCTTAGAAAGACATGACAGAAACTAAACTATACAACTTACAGTAAACAATGCGAAATAAGGAAATATATAAATAAATATAATAATATAAGTAAGGAAATATATAAATAAATATAATAATATAAATAAGGAAATATTGAAATAAATATAATAATATAAATAAGGAAATATTGAAATAAATATAATAATATAAATAAGGAAATATCTAAATAAATATAGTAATATAAATAAGGAAATATCTAAATATAAGTAAGGAGATATTTAAATAAATATAATAATATAAATAAGGAAATATATAAAAACCAAATTCTCAACAGTGATTTTTAGTAATGGATCATAATCTCCATTGCATGGACACAATAGGAAAGCTTGATTTTGGGTCCTTTATGAAAAGAGTCAAGCAACATAACGTAGAAGAGGGATCAGGGGAAATGCTTAGGTATTGTAAGTATTAAAATTATATATCCCATCAAAGGATAAAGATGATAGTATCTAGCAACATGACTTAGAGGAGCTGGTGAATACATTGTCAACTATCATTGACATTAAAATTATAGGTTCCTTTAAAATGCATGATGGTGTGGCAAAAACTATGACAGACAGGGGAGTTGAAGGAATGCTTTGACAACTACCATTAGCAGTAAAATTATCAATCCCTTCAAAATGGATGATGACAGTGTCAAAAAACATGGCTTAGATGGGGAGCTGGAGGAATACTTTGGCAACTACTGCTAGCAATAACATTATCAATACCTTCAAAATGGATAATGACGGTGTCAAGAAACATGACTTAGACAGAGGACCTGGAGGAATGCTTGGTGACTATTGTTAGTAGTAAAATTATCAGTCTCTTCAAAGTGGATGATGGTAGCGTCAAGAAACATAACTTAAACGATGGAGGTGGAGGAATGCTATGGCAAGTATTGTGAGCAGTATAATTATTGATCCCTTTAAAATGGATGATAGTAGTGTCAAGAAACAATGAATGATGGAGGTGGAGGAATGCTTAGGTAAATATCATTAGCAATAAAAATATTGATCAATCCAAAATGGATGATGGTAGTGTCAAGAAACATAACTTAAATAGGGGAGCTGGAGGTAATTGTTGGCAATTATTATGAGCAATAACATTGTCAATCCCTTCAAAATAGATTATGGTTGTGTCAAGAAACCCTTCAAATGAATTATGATCCCTTCAAAATGAATTATGATTGTGTCAAGAAACACGACAGATGAAGGAGCTCAAGGAATATTTTGGCAGCTATAGTGAGCAATAACATTATCAATCCCTTCAAAATGGATGATGTTAGCATAAAAATAAATACCATTAATTATTGAACATTCAAAACAGAACATTTCTCTGCTGAATAAGATTCAAGCTAAAGAGTATATTTATACAAGAAAATGTTCCTTCACACCAAATTAATGAAATTGTGCCCAGCCTTTTCATATATTAATCCAATAAAAATCTTGTAATCATATCATTAGCTCATTAATACTAGCCTTAAAATTCAGTATTATGAAAATCAAAAATCCAGTATTAATTATGTTTCCAAAAATCCGTATTATAGCTCTATAAAAATCCGGTATTAACTGTAAGCTCCGACATATAACACATCAGTGCCCACTATTCTCAAAATGCTTATTAATGGGTTAAAACTTAAATGACATATATGAGAATGGAAAATCATATTCAAGCAAAGATCTCTGAAAAACAATAGAAACTGCTGTAAATAATGTTAAAATAGAAAAATTAACAAAATCAGTGAGTGAAAGACTAATGAAGGTTAATGAATGTCAACAGTCCAAATTAACATACATAAATAAAATAATTTATTCACATATGCATGAAATTATGCTAATTAAATATTTCTGTAGACTATATCTTTTAGATTTAATTATAAATAAAAATTCATGTTGAACTTTGCTTGATAAAAACGGACATGCACACAAACAATCCATAATCAATATTTTTAAAAGGGTTAAATATTATAAACTGAAAATCGTGTAATTTCTTACTCATAAAAATATCAATATATCCTGAAATTTTCACTAACATCATTTGGTTAATACAAATTTTATTGTGGAGACATTGACTTGCATAATCAAATCTATCATAGTGTAAGACGTGACTGAAAAGACTTAAGTTCTATGGGGCAGTTTTATAGCAGAAAAGATATAAAATCACTATGGTACCATAGATTTTGCAAGTATGTGCAATTAAATTTCCTGGTTTGTAAAAATAACATAAAAAGAAATAGCAATTGTGGTCTTATTCTCAGAACGGTAGCTTTTGTCTTGAGAAAATCAAAATGAAATTGATAGCAGTAAAATAAACATAGAAAGATAGCAATAGAAATGTTGTTTAAGACCTGTTTGCTATCTTACACATAAGTTTGTTCTTCTAGGGATTAAGCCTAAACCTTTCTGCAGTTTACACAATTTTAAAAGTAAGTAGTGATATCTACACGGAAAAAGAATGGTGAAAGAGGGGAGAAGAGAAATGGGACTTGAAAGGCGGTAACGGGGATCAAAAGATAATAAGAATGGAGATTTAATCACCTGAAAACACTGATAAGGGGGAAAGAAAAAAGAGCAAAGAAATTGAAAGACAGAAGAGAAAAGAGAAAACGACAAGATAGTAAGATTTTGAACGTAAAGGATGAAAGGTGGTATGAATGGAAAGAACAAAACAAAGAGAGGGAGGAGGAAAAGATCAAAGGAAGAAAGGTGGCAAGACTGAAAAAGAAAGAAAGAAAAGTGAATCAAATAAAAAGAAGGGAAAGTGAATCAATAAAGAAAATAGTGTGTAGAAAAATGAAAGAAAGAAAGGGCTAAGAAAAGAAGAATTGTAGGGGAAACGATCAAAGAACGAAAAAAACGATGAAAAGAGTGGAAAAGATAAAGAAAGAAAGAAAGAAAGAAAGAAAGAAAGAAAGGGCTAAGAAAAGAAGAATTGTAGGGGAAACGATCAAAGAACGAAAAAAAAAATGATGAAAAGAGTGGAAAAGATAAAGAAAGAAAGAAAGAAAGGGCTAAGAAAAGAAGAATTGTAGGGGAAACGATCAAAGAACGAAAAAAACGATGAAAAAGTGGAAAAAAAAAAGAAAGAAAGAAAGAAAGAAAGAAAGAAAGGGCTAAGAAAAGAAGAAATAGGGAAACGATCAAAGAACGAAAAAAAAAATGATGGGGAAAATAAAGAAAGAAAGAAAGAAAGAACTAAGAAAAGAAAAAAAACGATCAAAGAACGAAAAAACGATGGAAAAAAGAAAGAAAGAAAGAAAGAAAGAAAGAAAGAAAAAAAAGAAAGGCTAAGAAAAGAAGAATTGTAGGGGAAACGATCAAAGAACGAAAAAAAAATGATGAAAAGAGTGGAAAAGATAAGGAAAGAAAGAAAGAAAGAAAGAAAGAAAGAAAGAAAGAAAGGGCTAAGAAAAGAAGAATTGTAGGGGAAACGATCAAAGAACGAAAAAAAAACGATGAAAAGAGTGGAAAAGAGAAAGAAAGAAAGAAAAAAAGAAAGAAAGAAAGAAAGGCAGAAATTTACAAAGTGGAAGTAAAAAAGAAAGAATAAAAGATGAGAAAGACAGAGAACTTGACAGACATAATGAAAGAAAAAATAGAAAAGAAAGAAATGGGGGAACAAAAGAAAAGCAAAAAGGGTTTGAAAAATTCTAGCGAGAAATCGGGTAAGATGGAAGTTGGGTGAATATAAAAAAAAAAAAAAGAAAAGAAAAGAAAAAAGAACGAGACGGAAAGATTGCAACTAAGTACATTTGCAGAAAAGGACAGATCTGAAACAGGAAGTAAAACAAATGATAAATGATGACAAGTCCTTAACCGCCACTCTCTTCATCTTCCAAGATTCCCGCCTCTGGGTGCCTCTTTCGGCTCTATAAACTCCATAAGCATCAACAACTGCAACAACACTCTAAATACTTCAGTTTGAAGTCCAGGTGAGAAAAAATGGTGAAGCGAACAGAATGAGGCGGAAGATTTCAGAAGCAACTTCACAGGGAAGGCGGAAAGAAAGGTGTTGGGCGTTTGGAAGAGAAGGAAAGTTACGTGATTATTGTTCATTCATCCGCTGTCTTCCAAGGCGAAGCGTTGTCGTCTGCAATAGGCCAACTTCAGTCGCGAGTTTGTGAAAAGAAGAAAGAACGTCGAGTAATTAACTTAGTAGAATATATACTATCGATACATTCGTACATCTTTTTCCTCCCACTTCTCACAAAGTTGGCAAGGGGTCTGCGGCAGCGGTGGGCGAAAATGGTGGTGATGACGGTAGTAGGTCTCGTTAGCGAAACGAAGGTTTTACACGCCACGTGCCGGCTTTATTAGCAAGCGTGAGCGCAGAAGATGGAGTGCGTAAAAGAGGCAGGAGAAAAAGGACTTGTTTGCGGGGTTGTGTTTCACTTGAGATTAGTGGTCTGGGGTTAAAGGATTGTCGATTATGTCGATGCCAGGAGAGCGGGAGTGTGAAGAAAAAGAGAAAAATCCCTAGCTTGCTTCTTTTTTTTCTTTCTTTGATCTATTTTATTCTTCCTTCTATGCTACCGACGTTCGTTGCTCCCTTCTTTGATTTTTACCTCTTTCCATTTTTTATCTCTTTCATTCTTCGCACTTTCGTTCTTTCTTTCCTTTTGATCTTTTTTTTTTTCTTCTTCTTGCTTCCATTCTTTCCACTGTTCTTTTTCTTCTTTGATCTTTTCCTCTTTTCATTCTTTTAACTCTTTCTTTGTTCCTTTCTTTTTTCTTTCTTTTCATTTTCTTCTCTTTCCTATTATCCCCACTATTTTTTTTCTTTCTTTTTCTTTCTTCTATTTCTTCCTTTCTTCCCACTCATCTTTTTTTTTTATTTCTTTGATGTGGCTAGATTAGGTGAGATGAGAGTATGTCAGATAGCCTGAAATGATTTATTGAAGTTGTTTTTAAATGACGAGTGTGTGCTACTGATGCTTCTCTGTGTATATGCGTGTGTTAAAACAATTCTGTGTTAAAATGAGTTTGTGTCCGCTTTCTGTACGTGCATTGTAATACAAGAGCCAGAGAAAGTTAAAAGTTCGTTTTTAATCTTGGATGTCGAAGATAATTCGTGTCTAACAAAGCAGCTAAGTTATTTACGAGATCTACTCAATTTGATTATTGTTGCTTTTTTGTGACAACATTCTAGTTCAATATCCCCTTCGTACGTTAGAGCAAACGGCGTGAAATCAGTTAAAGGAGTTGAAAAATGTCCTTAGAAACGAAGAAAAAGAGTACTGGACTAATGTGTAATGTCTAATCTCTTATATGTCAGTGAATACAGGACAGTTTCCTCACAGATGAAAACTTAAAGCAACCGAGGTGTAATTCTGCCGACGAATATTGGCGACACAATGGGCAGATTATGCGAGAAACGAGGAAGTTCTAAGGTGAATAGAAAGGACAAAGAAATTATTCTAAACAACCAGAAAGAAACAGCTGAACATTTTGGGAACAAATAATCAGGTAAGAAAGTTTAGAAACTTTAACACTCACAAGACACACACGAGGCAAGAGAAGCAGGTAAAAACATCGGGAAAACCTAAGTCTGAGCAAATGGCTGTCGAAAAGAGTGCTGTCAAGAAAAGAGCGATCGTAAGGGAACAAGTTTTGTTAAAGCAACAAAGGACATAAAACTGTGAAAAGACATGATCACCCACAGCCAGGTTCTGAAAGAACATACTGCACACACATATATATAATAAAACAAGGTGTAATGTATCAGAGAACAGAGGGTGACAGAATGACAAGAGAACTGTGTTTCGTCTAATCATTAATGCTTCTTTATGTTCTTTATATCTACACTTTGCCTGCTGATCAGGTTATTTCAACAGCCAAAGAAAGAAGGGGAGTACAGAAACTTTTTTAATAAAAAACAAAGGCGAGAAAAGGGGTTCGAATGAACCAATGTGCAGGCCTTATGGTGCGTTTACCTAATATCTTTCCTCAGTACAGATATTTATCTAAATAATTAAAATAAATAAATAAAGGTGGTTAGAGCGAAGTCGAAATAACGTAAATGAAAGAAAACATTGAACCAAGTGGAGAAATGTGTTATATATCAACTCTCCAGTCCTGAAAGGAAGGCTAGATGTTACAAAAATAGTCTCTTCTCATAAGTCCAGAACGTCATGTTGCAAGAAGCTGTGTTTTGTCCACGTAACAGGGAAGCATCTTCTTGCAGCGGCTATGCTAAAACCTTCCACAGTATAGAGTAGGTTTCATTGACTGGCCGTTAAGTATCACCTGACTGGCCAAGCGCAATACATCCTAAGGAAAGGAAACTCAACATTTACATATATATCTTTTATTAGTAGTTTTCCGAAAAGACTGACACTTAAAATCCCAAGACAAAATAAAAGTTTTTATTAGGTTTGGATATAGCAAAGCACCTCTGGTTGCAGAGTGCATAGCAGGTGGTATGGTATATGATGTAATTCCGAGGGAACGTTATTGACCTCAGCTATTTAACATCCCAAAAACGGTGTCTGTATTATTCGATTTCTTATTGGTCAGAGTCAACTAACTTCATTCTCAAAAGTGGAGCGGACTCCATCCCTGCCACCTCGTTGGTTATAGTTCTAAGACTATTAACAAGAAGGTAGCCATTTTTAACATTGTAACTCCGCTCCTGGCACAGAGAAGTCTGAGTATCTGAAGGTGACTAAGCTATGCTGACTTTTCTTGACGATAGCTGAAGTATTCAGGAAAACGCATTTGACTCGTTTTCTCAAGACCTAGTGACAATTCATAAAAGGAAAGAGAACGATTTATGACCCCCCCCCACACTTAGATCATCTAACCTACGTTCTTTGATGCTTCTCAACTTAGTCCCCTCGAATGTTGTCGTAGTATCACTCAAATAAAGGTTAGTGGTGGTATTCAAAAGCTTTGATGATGAAAATAAAATTGCAATAATAATAATAATAATAATAAAAGAACAGGAAAATAATGAAAGCAAGAAAAACTAAGAAATGAAGAGTGGCAAAAGTTCGGGTCCAAAAATAGGAAGCGTGTATTTTCAAATAGTTTGTACTTTCAATTAGAATTCTTTACTCTTTCCAGTTAGCTTATTCGTTGTTTTCCTTCATCTCTCTTGCCTTCAGTCTGTCCTGTATCAAATTTTCCAAGACCCCTTTCATAATTATGTACCCTAGAAATTTCAACTGTTTCTTCCTGTTAAATATAAGTGCCCTTTTTTCTACCATTTGTCTCTAGAACTTTGTCCATGCTCACATGTTCAGTCCATAGTATCCTCAGCATCCTTCTGTTTACTATAAAAACCCATTGCATGTGGTTTACAATAGAAATGCATTGAAAATAGTTTACTATGACAAAGCATTGCAAATAGTCTATTATAAATATTCATTACACTTAGTTTACAAAGATTATATACTATAAAATGGTTTACTGAAGATTATTTACTATAAAATGCCTTTCAAATAGGTTGATATAAAATAAAATGGGAATAATTTACAATAAAATGTATTGCGAATGGTTTAATATGAAACTATTTCCTATGAAATGGTTTGCTGGAAAAACCACTGATTTAATTACTATAAAAATATATTGGAAATGATTCACTATAGAAATAGATTGGACGTGGTTTACTTTAAAAGGCATTGTAATAGATGCAGTATACAAATATATTTTTGATCATACATAGAACTGCATATATAAATATATAAATAA